TCTTGGTCTTGTTCTTTTCCTTTGCTTTTGTTCTTGCTCTTTTGCTTTTGCTCCTTCTTTTGCTCTTGCTCCTTCCTTTGCTCTTGCTCCTTCTTTTGATTTTGCTCTTTTGCTTTTACCCTTATCTTTGCTCTTTTTATTTATTTTTATTTTATTTTTCCTTTGTGGAAAATTTAGGCACCAGTCCTTCATCACTTTAACGAAATGGGGGTGAACACATTTGCTATTCAAGGCGAAAGCTTAGCCCCAGTTCATCGGGGTCACAGGACGGTGAACTGAGGATTTCCTCAGAAAAACGCACAATCCACCTGAGAGACCAATTCACGAATTTCTTACACCCAACTTTTTCTGCGAAATGAAAGGAAATGCTACAAAAGAGCCCGCAGGATCTCCTCAAAACCCGGCTTTTCTTCATTTAATTGATGGAGTCAACCTGGCTCTCGGTACTGAACACAACCCACCTCATCGTGATCCCGATGCGAGGGGACAAGATGCGGCAAACGGACGCTCCGTTACTCAGAGAAATGTAGTTCAGTAACTGTCATAGCGAGGACGACAAAGCCTTGGAAAAATCGATTCGGTCAGAAGATCAACCAGACTAATACTGTGCAAAATTCAGCTTCTCATTGGTGTGGGACGGTCCACTTGACCTTGAAGAAGGGTGAAGTCCAGTTGGTCTAATGCCAGACTCAGATATACTGACGAGAATGTGATTGGTCGACAGTCTGATGCACTCTGGGTGTTCATATGCCTTCTATGCATAAGTGGACAAAGTAGAGTAGACATAGTAACTGTTGCAGGGCCCGACTAACCGGTGGGTGAGCGGGCGTCGGGATGAGTCAGGATGAGATTGAGGCGCGAGGTTGAATTCGTTGCGTCTAGTCGGTTCCAGTACGGCTGGGCTGCATTGAAATTCACCCCCAGACGGTCGTTCTGTTTCCGGCCCACTTACCAGAAATGCTCTATTGAATTAAAGTAATAACACACTCAATGTTTGTCTGGAAAGCATCAATATTTCTTCAATAAGGATTTGCTCATGATAGGTCGTTTAATGTGAATTAAAAGATTATTTTATAATTTCTCACCACAAAAAGGGTAGGCCTGGTGGTGACCTTAGGCAACTCAGGGTCACTAAGTCCGCATTCAAGAATTACCGATGGGCTCAAAGCATACTTCAAGCAAGCTATGGCAACACTAATCAATGAATGCAATGGCAAATACATGTAATCCCATCGCAAAGTATAGGCTTAAAGATAGGACTTGGCTTACCTTGCCATTCATTTATGCCCTCGGACCACTGGAACCCGTGGTTGTGCCACGCATGACGAGGTCTCGAACCCCGTTGGGAGAAGAAAGTGTGATCAAAACCAGCCTGGATGAGGGCATTGATTGTGAAGCAAGGCTAATTGGAATTGATTGGCAGTATGGGGTTAACCGACGTGTGTAGCAGCAAAGAATCATTCCAACGCCTTTGTTGAATTACCATTCACACGATGGGCAAAAGCTTGATTAACCAGATTGTAGGTATGATGACCGAGCTGGTGTGGCCGTCTGTTTGGTCGCAGACTCCTTTAACTTTACAGTGTTGGTTCGACCATGTTTTCGCAACTTGGTCGGAGCTTCAGGGAGACCTTGTGGAACGTACCTAGTTCCGTGTCCTCTGCCAGAGTATTCGTGATTTCCAACAATGGACCATTTTAACGGCATCGTCGGTGAGCGGCGCCATCGTAGGCACAGAATTATAACTTGTCACTTTGATAAGTTGTAATTCTGTGATTACGATGCTGGCGAAACGTTTGGCAATGTGCCCAGCCGATGGTCCAAAGCTGGAAATCACGAATACTATGGCAGAGGACACGGGATTAGGCACGTTCCACAAGGTCGCTTTGACGCTCTAACCATATTAGTTGTAATGTTACATTGGTTAAGGAGATAAAGTGATAATAATTTGCCATTTTTAGATGTTTTAGCGATCAGGCGAGAAAAGCTAAGCAGGAATTCATATAGGAAGCCAACACATGCAGATTCAGTCCTTACTTTATTCTAAAAACATAGTTAAAAAAGAAAGGCTGCGTTTTAAAATGTATGAATATGCATAGCATAAGACTGGCCAATAGAGACCATTGTGAGAATGAACTGGATCAGCTTAAATTAA